GTCAGATATAATGCCAGATAGAATGCCAACATATATGCCAGAATATATGTCAGATAGAATGCCAAAATATATGTCAGATATAATGCCAGATAGAATGCCCGAATATATGCCAGAATATATGTCAGATAGAATGCCAGAATATATGTCAGAATAAATGACAGGTAGAATGCCAGAATATATGTCAGATGAAATGTCAGAAAATATGTCAGATAGAATGCCAGATAGACTGCCAGATAGAATGCCAGGTGGAATGTCAGGATATATGCCAGATATAATGCCAGATAGAATGCCAGAATATATGTCAGATAGGATGTCAGAATATACTAAATATATGTCCAAATATACGTCCTGACATGTCATGGTGGGGATCACACGAAGTAGAGTAATTTGTTTTAACTGTTTTTTCCTTTTAAACGGTTGGGTTTAACTCACAGGGAGTTGGCCCCCCGGTTCCCTGAACAGGACTGGCGCGACTGAGTTCAAAGGCTGGGCCACAGCTTCTTTGACCTTCGGCTGCAATAACTAGTGCAAATCTGGTTGGCAACAATATAGCACGGAAAGGAATAAAATATATTTATGTCTCGTTTACATGTGTGCGGTTAACGTTCCAGTTTTGCATGGTTTGCCATATTTTTCCACGGTTGAATTTTGAAAAACAGTAACTAGTAGCTGGTGGTGGGCCCCCCCGGTCACTTGCTAGGACACTTCGATGGAGGCTGCTGTGAAGCTTCGGCGATTGGGAAGCCCTGGAAGGCTTGAGTTTCGCGCTTTCAGAACGAATTGCCCAGATCTGGCCGATGCGTTTGGGAAACACATCGATTGGTGGAGGGACGCCGGGTCGCGTGAGATTCTGATTTACGATCTACTAACAACGGTTGATGCTTATCCACAAACAATAGAAATCATACAACGAGGATTGTTCTTCGGTCACTATATTTGCACGTGGGCAACTCCCGTCCATTTGGATCCCTATCTCTACGTGCTACTGGATCCAGAAGAAAGCTTTTTCACAGTGTTAGTCTTCAGGGACCAGCGCCGACTTCAAAGAAACAGGTGGTCATAACAACAACCAGGGCTGGTTTAGGGGAAAAAATGGACAACAGCGCTGAGTTCCAAAGTTGTTCAAACCTTTTTGAAGGTATTTAAGGGAAAAAAGGGTTCAACTTGGCGACCATAAGGTCTTCCACTCGAGCTTTCTGTTGCCACGCTTGTAGCTGGTTGACCTTGAAAGCAAGGTCAACCAGCTCGAATGGAAGACCTTATGGTCGCCAAGTTGGACCTTTTAAGGGAAAAGAGGTTCCAACTTTCCGACGCCCCCCTCGGTAAGTTGGCCCGGGTCGATTGGTAAGTTAAAAATCTGCCCCTTGCAACTGGCTTTCTGCAGTCATTTTGGATGAAAATTCGGGCAACTCGTGCGCCAAATCGAGAAACAGTTCGGGTACGGACAGTATAATGAAGGGAAAATCGTCGTTTTTTCGCGGTCTTACCCGGAAAACAGACCGAAGTAACATAGAAAGAGCAACACACCAAACAAAAAGGTTTCGGACAGGGGAATGAAACGAAAATCGTCGTCGTCTTGCGGTGTTACCCAGAAGACAGCCCGAAGCAACAAAGAAAGAGCAACGCGCCCAAAACAAAAGGCGTTGCCTCCTCAGGACCAGGACAAACATGAAAAGGAAAGAGCCGCTGCAAAGCCGTGGAACCAAGGACACAAACACAGTAAAACTGCAAAGCAACATGTGTTCATTCCTAGAGAGCAGTTACAATTGTTTTTTTGCGGTCGCCCAATTCTTTGCAGGGCCAATCTACTGCGTAGTATTATGGCTAGCTTTGGTAACATCTCGGCGCATATCTGAGACGCTACTGTTACGAGGCACAGACATACGCCTGACCGGAGGAGAAGACCACGATGCTCCGCATGTGTTATTTCAAAAAAGACAAGAGGATAAAAAACTTCGGGGGCAAGGGAAATTGGGTGCTGAAAGCCTGAGCGCTAGAATTTCAGAGTCAGCCATTGAGGGTCTGAAGGAATTAATCGAAACGGGTCTCAAGTGGAGTGCCCCATGATTTTGGAATCATTTAAATCTTCGCATCCCAAAGTGTTTGAAGATGTTAAGCCTCTGCGCAAAGACGATTTTATGTTGGACGCTACATCAGAAATATTTCTGTTTCAAGGCAATAGCAGAAAAAAATGCCGGCCGAACATGGCCCGACAATCGGTGTCTGATGCAGTGACCCGTATCCGGGATGTCATGTGGGCATTGACACATCAACGAAGATGGAACCCAAGCAACCAATATAGGGGTAGCCGTGTGACAGTTCACGGTGCCACAAGGCATACAAGCTCGGCACTACTGCTTTTTAACAAAGACAAACCATCAATGCAGAGGCCAACTGAAACCACAATTTTAGAAGTGCAGCGACGCGCAGATGCCAGAACTTGGCGGAAGCACTATTGTCATGCACATGACGACGAAGTGAAGGAAGCTCTAGAGTTTGGGTCCGCCCCAAGTCCTTTCAAAAGAAGTAAGAAGGAGGAAGAAGCAGAAAAACCATCAAAAAAAATCCTCAATATGGTGGTCTTACCCCTGCAAAAGGCACAGAAAGTGAACCCAACTGCACATCAAACATACCACCAAAAGGGGAAGAAAACACAAATTTCGAACGAGCAGACACGTCTTCCCTGGCCCCCGGTCCTGAGCTAAGACCAACCTCACGCGCGGAAGCTGGATCTGCTCGGTCGGGTAGCGTCAAAGACCAAGAAAGCCAGTTCCAGCCAAAGCAACGTGCATTCAGGAGCCGTAATGTTGCTGAGTAGCACTAGGATTTACTGAAACTTGTTTTGGAACCATGATGATGACAATGATTGTTGTAATTGTTCTTGTTTTTCGTTTTCTTGATGTATTTTTCGCACCATGTTCGTGCTTGTTGTTTCTGATATCGTACGAACCATACGACATGCTCGATGCATTCTTTCAATTACACGTTTGACTCATTTGATTTCAGATAATACCCACTGAGGCTTTCAGAAAACACCAGCGGCGACAGGCCAAACAAAAACGGCTTCAAGGGAATCTTGGTTAATGATTATTATCATCCTTCTCACACATTGAACCTTCACATGCTGAACGAACTTACTGAAAAAACGGTTGTTCGTTGGCTAAAAGGCCCCTTGCGAGTTAGTTGGTTCTGTTCAGCAGAGCCCCTCGTATGTTTTGTGATCTGAGGCCCCTGCTTATCCATTCTACAATTATCTTATATAACTTCCCGGCTGTTAAGAAGGTTATGGTGCCCCTCCACAAGTTTGTGGCTTCTGGCCCCTTGTGTGAGTATGAGGTCTCATGCCCCCGGGAAAGGGAATGTCCTATGTATGAGCTAAAGGGTCAGTGATCCAGGATGGTAACAACTATGATGATCATCGGTAATCACTTTCATCGTGCAGATGACATTTGAAATTGTTTTATTTTTTGACCATCAACACCTGCATATCATCCCCAAGTAACGGTTCAACGGGGGTTTGGAATTGCAACAGTCCGTTCCGCCCAGAGTCAGGTAATCACATTTTTGCCATCGCTGCGCAGGAAGAGGACTGACACGTCCAGCATCGCAATCTTAAAAAGGGTCTATTTTTGGGTTGGTGGTTCTGTCCCAATAAGCAAAAACAAAAATTGCATTTGATAGGTTGGCATTTTTTTTGAAAAACAGTTGCGCATAAAACTATTTCACTTTGGACTATTTTTTTCACCAACCATAAAAGTGAGACGTTCCAGGTCCACGGCTCACTCAG